GAGAAGGATTCTTTGATTGGGAGATTGCCATTGGAAGAGGTTGATGAAGACGACCGTATGAAGGAAGATCTGATCGATGGGCGTTTAAAGCTGTAGAGAAACGGTGACTGAAGCGTCCAACCGCAGAAATTAGCGGCCATAGGAGGAGAGAGAGAGAAGCTGTCTGTCGTGTGTAGATTTGGCGGGCTCATTGTTCTTTTCCTGTGATGGAGGAGATATCAATAGAGGCCTTAAACAAGCCACGTACATGCACCAGCTTTCAATGGAGTCATGGGCTTAATTCTATTAGACCCATCTACTACTTTTAGGCCCATAAGTGACAAAAATGTAATGCTTTTGTAACCCAACCGGGAGACGAATCGGACAGTCTTCTCGGTCACTACATCATTGGGTCGATCCGGTTCAATCGTAGGCCAATGAAGGTCGATCCGGTTCAATCGTAAGCCAATGAAGCGGTGTCTATATTTTTTTTTCGTAAACCAACTCACAATAATGATGATTGAATTTTAACTGTGTTTTCTATGAAAAACAAAAAAGTGAATTTTTGAAAAATACCACTTCTCTCATTACTATTTTTAAAATTACCATCAATTAAAAATATCATTTTTTATTGATCATTATATCCATGTATCACGTTCTTAACCAAAAAACCCTCGATATCAGAAGAAACAATCATCGTGGCTCGCCGAATTTGTATTTCGCCGGCGAGATACAAATTACCGGCGATTTTGTTCTATTTAACTGAATCACATCATCTTTCACCGGTGATTCTGTTGGATTCATTGACCAAAGGTATGTCCTTTCTGATTCTGTCAAATCGCAAAAAACTTGTTGATTTCCTGGGAAATCATAATTCATTCGTTCTAACTAACTGAATCACATCATCTCTCGCCGGCGATTCTGTTGGATTCATTGACCAAATGTATGACCCTTCTGATTCTGTCAAATCGCAAAAAACTTGTTGATTTTCTGGAAATTATAATTTCATTCACATAAGATTTTTAGGGAATAGGATGATGTGTTGTCGATTATAAGTTTTAATGACAAGTAGGTATCCAATTTTGTGAAGAAGATGTTCTGATTAGAATCTCAACGATGAATTTGTAAATTTGTAAACCCTTATAAATTGTTATATTTTTTCATCAGACAAAATGCTTGAGATATACTTCGTCTGTGGAGCTTGGAATTTAACTAATACCACACAATGGGAGTTCGTTGTTGATCCTGACAGAGGAGCTTCTTTTATACTCATCAAAGAGAATATCACTTACGGTGATCTGGTTGCGATTGTTTTAGAAGATTTTGGAATTGATGGGAATGCCAATGGTCTGAAACTTAGCTATGGATCACTTTCAAGCTCTCTTTTGGCGTCAAAACATCTCCCTCCTATGGTCATTAGGAATGATCGGCAACTAGAAGCTTTTATGCACAAGATTCAAGAGAGTGGAGGAGTTTTTGAGTTATGTGTGACAGTGAAGGAAATAAAGAGTACGAAACCTGCTACTGAAGTTCTAGCTCCCATCGTTGCCCCCTTCGTGCTATGGATGAGGTAAGTAGTATAATTATTTTGTGTCTATATGATTACAAAGCAAATTCATGAATTATAATGCCTATGTTACAGAGAGAAACAAACTCTCGTTCATTCATGGTTCGAAACAACATCCAGATAAATAATGAGAGTTTTACTGCCTCTGCTGCCCCACACTTTGTTGTCAATGAGGTATTTTTATGAAGCTTTGGCATGGGTTACAAATTAATTTTTGTGAATGAATATACTGTACTCAATGGGACTTACAAAATCTTGCATTTGGCTTTTCAAATTTGCAGTTTGAAGAGAGTTTCACTGCTCCATCCATTCCTCCAATTGTGGTATGCTTATAAAAAATGAGCCTTTTAAAAGGTTTTATAATCTGTTCATCCCTGATATATATGGATGTTTCTATTCTGCAGAGACGATCGAATTCAAGTACAATGTCAGGAATTTCGCAATTGTCATCATCCCTTGATCCAGGACGTGCTGCTCCATCTGGTTCCTCACAATCAGTTGCTTTCGATAATGAAGGTGTGTATTGTGGAAACCTATTCAAAGACAAAAACAAAATGGGCACGAAGCTACAAATGTTTTCGATGCTTTATAGCTTTGAGTTCCGCACTGAATTATCAGACAGGAAACGGTATGTCCTATGTTGTGTTGATGAAAGTTGTACCTGGATATTTCGTGCAACAAGAGTTATGGGCTCCGAAAGCTTTGTTGTTCGGCAGTATGTGCACGAGCATACTTGTGACTCATCATTAAGGCATGTTAACCATCGGCAAGCAAGCGCAAAGGTCTTGGGTACTATGTTAAGTAATCATTACGATGGATGGAATCTTGGATTGCGACCTAAACAAATAATAGAAAAGGCTAGAAAGGATCATGGTGTCGTTATCTCATATTCAAAAGCTTGGCGAGCTCAAGAACATGCCGAAGCGATTGCTAGAGGTACTCCAGAAGATAGATATGAAGCTCTGTCAATTTTTTTCCACATGGTAAAGCAAAAGAATCTCGGGTCTGCAACCTACATTGAGGTAGATAATGCTGGAAAATTCAAGTATGCTTTCTTGTCCTTTGGCGCATCCATTAGAGGTTTTAAGGTGTTCAGGAAAGTAGTTGCTATCGATGGTGCTTTCTTGAAGGCAAAATTTAAAGGGACTTTGCTTGGTGCCACAGCGCAAGATGGTAACTTTCAATTATATCCCATTGCTTTCGGGGTAGTTGAATCTGAGAATGATGCTTCGTGGGAGTGGTTTTTGAGGTGCCTGAAGACTATCATTCCGGACGAAGAAGATCTAGTGTTTGTGTCGGATCGTGCACCATCTATTGCGAAAGGTGTTTCGATAAATTACCCATTGGCTCATCATGGCATCTGCAGTTTTCATTTTGAGAAAAACGTGGAATCACACTTCAAGGACGCTTCTCTTGTGGCTTTGGTTCAGGAGGCAATCAAGGCTTACACGAAGTATTACTTTAATCTTCTGTTCAACGAAATCAAGAATGCTCATCCATTGCTCGCAGATTATCTGGTGAAAGCTGATGTCACGAAATGGTCACGCGCTTATGCGCCTTCCACTCGCTATAACATCATGACATCAAACCTTGCAGAATCTCTTAACTCTTTGTTAACTATCCCTCGCGAATACCTTATAGTGTGCCTGTTTGACACCATTAGGTCTATATTGACAAGGTGGTTCCAGGAAAAGCATGAGATGAGTTCACGTCATCCGCACCCTGTGACATTAGAAGTCGGGAAGAGAATGAAGGAATCCTACGACAGTTCATCACGGTGGCTTGAAGTGTGTCCAATCAATCAGCTTGAGTTTGAGGTGAAGGGTGACAAGTGAAAGGAGGTAGTGAATTTGATGTTAAGACAATGCACATGTTGTGTGTTTGATATTCAAAGATTTCTGTGTGCTCATGCGATTGCTGCTGCCAAAGCTGCTAAACACAATGAAAATAACTATGTTGATGATTGTTTCTCTAAAGAAAGGTACTATTGCCTCTTTTTGTCTACGCCTTTATTCTTGATTCATTTCGTGTTGTTCTGTATAGGTAATCATATTATCTTCTCACAGGTGGATACTAGCATATGCAGAGAGTATTTATCCTTTTGGAGATAAAACTTATTGGGACATCCCTCCTAATGTAGCTAATTTTATTTGTCTTCCACCTTCTACTCGCATCCCTAGTGGGAGGCGAAAGAAAAAGAGGATTCCTTCTGGTTGGGAGTATGGCAAATCTTGTACCAAATCAAAAAATTACAAATGTGGTAGGTGTGGTCAGAGTAGACACAACAAATCTACATGCGTAGCCCCAATCTGACCTAATCTCTAATTTTACTCTCCTATTAAACAGTATAATATTATTACATTATTATTTTATACATTATTGTTATTTTTGTGTTGGTGAGGTTTTGGAATGAAAGAACTTGCGGTGTTTTACATTAAAAGTTGGTTATAAGTACAGGGGATTCCTATTTCAACCCCCATTTTAAGATTTAAAAAGATTAAGTAACTTTTTATAACCCTTTTTAAATGGTTTTAAACGTAGATTTTAATACCTAATATATACAACTATATACATAGCAATAACAAGTAAAACACCACAGCCTTGGGGGTTACACACACCCTCTTCCTTACCATCAGCACCCGGGTTCGAGCAACCGTGGGGATCTCGACTGTTTGAAAATCTTTTTATAAGCATTTTAAAGCATCTTTTAAATCTCAACACAAAACTTTATAAATCTTTATAAAAGCAAATTTATAGTTTTTTTGTTGGGCCCGTGTTTGGGCCTACATTTCAAACAGTAGATATTTTTTTTATTACCTTTTACGCTGGAGTTATTGACAATTAAAACACCACAGCCTTGGGGGTTACTCATGCCCTCTTCCTTACCATCAGCACCGAGGTTCGAGCAACCGTGGGGGTCTTGGCTGTTTGAAAATCTTTTCATAAGCATTTTAAAACATCTTTTAAATCTCAACAAAAGACTTTATAAATCTTTATAAAAACAATTTTTTGGTTTTTTTGTTGGGCCCGTGTTTGGACATACATTTTCAAACAGTAGATATTCTCTATATTAAATTTTACGCTGGAGTCATTGACAATTAAAACACCACAGCCTTGGGGGTTACACACGCCCTCTTCATTACCATCAGCACCCGGGTTCGAGCAATCGTAGGGGGTCTCGACTGTTTGAAAATCTTTTTATAAGCATTTTAAAACATCTTTTAAATCTCAACAAAAGACTTTATCTACATTTCAAACAGTAGATACTCTCTACATTTTATTATACACCTTTCTAAACTTCTTTTAAATCTTTATAAAATATTTTTAAAGCAGACCCGACTGGTTACTCAGCCTCATCGACTACACTCATTTCCTGGTTCGAGCAACTAGGGATATAAATTTTTTGTGGATGGGTTTATAAGCCTTTTTAAATGGTTTTAAAAACGTTCTTAAATCAGCATTACAAGTAACAATTTAGAAGCACCATCCGCATTAATAATTCACCAACAGAATTGATTTATTTATAATTAAAAAAAAAGTAAAATACGATGCAGTTTAGAAATTTTTCAAACATCTCTATGATGTTTGAAAGTTTATTACAACATAGATAGCATTGAGGTCATAAAACAAACGAACTCCTTATTTCCTAGCATATAATATCGCCCACTCAGCAGCTTTTCTATTGAACTTCTCTCTGTTAGAGACATACTCCAGAGTATCCTCATTCACCTTATCAGGAAGGTCCAATCTTGGGGTAAGGAGCATTCCCCAGAGCGTCATTAGGATCTATTTCCAGAAAATAAGAAAGTTTCTTTAATAAATATACTTCACTGCCGGTATTAAAGTTAAATTATAACGAATAGAAGATAAAACACAAACATCAGGAATTGTGAAACCAGGAGCTCATCCATTGCCCAACATGTAGAGATACACATCTCCTTTGTCAGAAACAATGGGGTGGAAAATCTTGGTTTTGAATTTGACCTGAAAATTTGAGGAACCCATAAGATTTTAGACATAGACATTGGCAGTTGTTGCATAAGAGCAAGAGTTAGTATGAAAAAATTACAGTTGGAGCTATCATTGGAAACCGTAGGGAAAAATTCATGCTAACACGGAATGTTCCTGCACCATAAAGGCTATATTTTGGCCCTTTAATTGCAGCTTCCCACTCGAAGAGGTTATCATCCACCGGACCTAAACAAAATATATTTGAATGAAAGGATTAATGATCTACAACAACAAGATTTGAATGAAAGTTTTCATCAACGGATTAATGATCTACAATAACATAATCTCCGTCTTTTCTGTCTCAATCATAAAAATTTGGGGTTTTCTCAAATATATAACGAGAGAACATGCCATAAAATTATTTTGATACAGAGATGGAGAGAAAAGATACAGAAAGTCATCTCTCACCCACTAGATTCGAACGGGTACAAACCAAAGTAAGTGAACCCAACAACTAAAAATACACAAAAGAAACTTCAAAATAGCATCTATCTAAAGAAATCAAAACACGAATCCAAACCCAAAGCACCAAATATAACTTATATATCTATATTAAACATTTTTTAACCAAACCTGCTGAAAAAAAGTCAGAAGGACGGTTTTTAATTTGCCTGGCAGCCATCTGGAGATCTTTAAAAGCGGTCGAAGTCGCCATTGTTATCTGTGGAAACAGCGGTGCCGAAATAATGGGGAATCAGAATATATATAAACAAGGGACGAAGCGGTGCGTTAAGAGACGAAGTAGTGCAAACGCCACCAAACACCAGAGAAAGTTGTATCTCTTCCCTAGATGATAAGAGAAGAAATTGATTGTTTCAATGCAAATAAATAAAACGATTGCTTCTTATCGATACGGTGTCAGTTCTCTCGATGAGGAATCAATGGGGATTTTTTTATATTTTTACAAACATATATTCTTTATAAACAATTTAGAATCTCTGATATGACAATTAAAACACCACAGCCTTGGAGGTTACGACCGCCCTCTAGTTTACCTTCAGTTCTCTGGTTCGAGCACCCAAAACAGTTTTAATAAACATTTTAACTTCTTTTAAATCTTTTATAAATTGCACCATCAAATTTATAAGGATTTAAAAGATTAATTATAAATCCTTTAACATCGTTCATATAATCCATCATGTTCGACAAAACACAATTGGGCTTTCAACATGAAGAATGACCTTTTAAAACTTCTTTTAAATCTTTTATAAATTATAATTTATTTATAATCCACAAGAGCGTCTTAGTTTTCTGGGCCCGTGTTTGGGCCTGCATCATAACCAGAGCAATATAAAAATTTCCCAAAGTGTATTCTCTTTATAAGCAATTACACTAGAGGCTATGACATTTAAAACACCACAGCCATGGGGGTTACACACGCCCTCTAGTTTACCATCAGTACACTGGTTCGAGCAAAAGGGGTTCACATAATTCTATTTCGTTATATGTGATTCAATCCACAGCCTTCGGGGTTGTCTCGAGCGTATTTTAAAACATCTTTTTAATCTTTATAAATCTTCATAAGCTAATTTATAAATCTTTAATAAAGAAAATATTAAAGATACAGAAAGTAAAGAATCTGTTTCAAAAGCCATTACATGGCCAAAAAAAAAAAAGGAAAAAACCAAAGAAGAAGCTACAAGTTTTTGAGCTGAATAAATTTTAAAACAAACGAGGAGAAACAGTTTCATACTCTAGCCTTTTTGTTTCTCATAGAGCTTCTACGATCATCCCCTTTCAGTTTTCTCTTTGACTTATTGCTCTCACTAGGCGACTCAAGCGGTAACTCATCTGCATCTGCATCGTTGAGTTGGTTATCTGAAGAAGGTCCATCAAATACCTCACAAAATAAGTCAACCGCCAGCTTAATTCTCAGTTGTTCAATATTTGCAAGGCAGAGACTAGACAGGTCTGTCATCATACTCGCACGGCACTCTATGAACTTGAAAGTATATAAACCTGTGTCCTGGAAATTGCTTACCTAGAGTAAAACATTGGTGATTAGTCAGCCAAGAACTTATAGAAAACATAGTCGTTTTTTGAGTAACATACCTTGGGTATTCTTGGTTGCTTTTTAATAGTGAATTCTTTGGAATATCTCGCACCCTTTACAAACATTTTCAAAAGCACATGCATTATTTGTGCATATGGGATTGTCGACGTCTTATAATCTGATAATCTGTCCGGGTATCTATCGCTGTCCCATATGCTTACCGACCCTTTTTTCAAGTCAAATATTACGGCAACCCACTGTTTGTCATGCCAACATTTTGGCGCATAGACATAGTCTATGTCTTTGATCATTTTCTTCCCTGTATTGCCAATAGCCGGAAATGTACCATTGATGTAGCCTTCAACGCTTTTGTTGTCGTAGTTGTACCACTTCTGACTCAACCGCCATCTTTCCCAGCATTGTTTGAGTGTCAAAAGGAAATATTCTCCATAGATGGCAACTCTACTGTTTGCAAAAATCTTGGGACTATTTTTTCTCCTTGTTCGAAGCAAATGCATAGCAGAATCCATATGCTGCAATAAAACAAAAAATATAACTTTTTACTTTTAAACTATAAATGCGTACTATCAAAGATGACAGAGTGAATGAGATTGCAATAAGTTTATATCACAAGCAGAAAGAATTATGGCACAACTAAAGTTTGGCAGATGTTTAAAAATTGAAGTTTAAAAACCAATCACCATTTACTTCTAGTTTAAATGAGATTTCAAATTCTAGTTTTACCTGTCTGGTCATTACAGTCCCTGGTGTCTGGAGGTTTAAAAACCAATCACCATTTACTTCATGTCTAAGAAAATCTTTCAAGATCCTACATTTCAAAAGATATTTGTAAATCTCTCCATATTACTAAGCTAAACATTTATGAAAACTTTACTTACCTCTGATTAGTTGCATTCTTCCATTCATCCAATCTTGATTTCCTTGATAGAAGATATGGCTGGAATGGGTGGAATATTGGATGAGCTCCACCTTTTTCCAACTGAACGGTAACATCTTCATCTGTCAGCGGTGGTCGCAAAGTAAATCCATGGCGGTTGGAATCGTGACTTTCATCACCTTCATCATCTTTGAGATTTTCTGTACAACAAAACAAGAACAAATTTGCGTGTTTTTAAAGTTGGTTTTATAAAATAACATATTCACATGACATAAATCTCACCGTCGCCACCATGATTTTCATCAATATCGCTAATATCAATATGCGCATCAACATTACCAGTACGATCTCCATCATTACCATTTGTATCATCCTTATCCTCACCATGATCTTCAACATTACCTTCTCTATCGCTAATATCAATAACATCATCTGCAGGATCTTTTGCAGCATTGTTATCCTGACCATCTTCAGGATCTTTTCCATCATTGTTATCCTCACCATCTTCAGGATCTTTTGGATCATTGTTATCCTCACCATCTACAGGATCTTTTTTCTATAAATCATAAAACAAAAGCCCAAAAACTAATTGAACATTTTTAAATGGGTTTAATAGATGCTTTTTTTTTACCTCTGCTGCCTTAATCCCCACAAAAGCCTCTATGGTCTCCACTTTGCCAATCAAGGCTTTAAGCATCTCCATCATCTTGTCAATTTTGTCACTGTCAGTCACGAGAGGAGCCTCACGTGTTGTTCTACTAGGCTCTACTCGTCTGTTATGTTTTGTCCGTATTTGTTCAGATGCTAAAACACCATCTACTTTTCCCTCTATCCACTCGGATCTGCTTAACCTATAGCCTTGCATTACAAGTTGCACCACCGTTGCAAAGTCTTTGTCAATGGGATTTGTCGGTGGAACCAGATTCTTATATTCCTCTGGATCCCCAATAACAATATTGACTATAACCTGCAATCGCATAGCAAATACATTTATAAAAGTTTAATTAAACCAAAGTAAACAGTATTAAAAAATTCCATAACACGAAACTTACATCCCGTTGATTGTGCACATCCAAAACTTCTGAAATATTAGGAGTCTGAGTGGCTTTCCACTGTAAACACAACGGGCCTGCAGACGAGCTTGAATCAAATCGACTCCCAAATGTAGTACCTAGCGCAGGCACAGCCGACAAAGCCCACAACGTGATTGCCCATACGAATCCTTGCACTTCATACATAGGTTTTGCAAATGTTTTTGCTTTCATCCTCTGTATACTAGCAGATAGGACATCGTATCCCATCTTCCCCCAAGGTCTCACAGAGTAACTATCTAAATTCGAAAACAATTGCAGACTCTCTCGCGGCACCTTTATCGTTGGATTCTTGGCGATTATAATCCCATGAGTCAATATAGCAGCTCCACGAGAAAGTTTCTCCTCAGCAGACATTCTGTTCGCATTGTTTTCCAGCAGCTGCATCAAACCTTTCACAGTGTACTTATCTTTTTTCCCCAACATCCAAAGATAAGCCTTTCTCACAAACATGTGTGTTGGGTTTTGTTTGGGTCTGAGTTCTTCTGGTTCTGGCTCCCAACAACGCAATCCTGTGATTAGATAAAACTCTCTTAGAGAAAATCTCATCGGCTGGTCTGCAAATGCAAACCACAAGTCTTCTCCCTCTGTCAAAATTCTTCTTTGCATAAGAAAGTGGAAGATCTTTCCAGAAAACTGAATGTCCTCTCTCCTTGAGAGCTTGAAAATCGAGCTGAGATAAGAGTTTTCGATTTTGGCGAACAGTGTTTTTCCTAACACCTTTTCGACTCTTTGCACCAAGTCGAAGCTCGAGTGTTACATGATTACACCCACTTTGTCTGGTTCAGTCCCAAACTTATATATCCTTGGAGGCAATTTCAGTGTCTTATGCACTTCATCTTCCATCATCTGCAAAAGTTTTATAAAAGCAATATTAGAGCAAACGGAATAATATAAAGGAATCATATTCTATTAAAAACCAAACTTTGTTTGCTTAATCAATCAATTCAAAATGATTTCACACACTAAACTGTTAGCCAATTGAAACTTATGGAAAAAACCCCAACATTTTCTGGCGACTAAAAACTTCACTTTTTTATTTACCCAGAACTGAAAACCGAGTAAATTGACGCAAAATTGGTGAACATATATTCATAAAGCCTTATAATTTACTATAAATCTGTGCTCACAATACAATAAAATTAAATCTCAACTACGAAACTAGGTTTTCCGGGAAAGAGAGAGAGAAAGAGCGAAAGACAGACAAAAATAGACTGCGAAAGATAGAGAGCCAGAGTGAGAAGGAGACTAAGAGCGATAGAACAAACTTTTGACGATTTTTACAGATTATCTAAGATACGTTTGGAGAAGAAGGGAAAAATTTTGGCTTTTTCTTAATTTTGGCAAAGAAGTTTAAGCCGTACACAAACACGATGAGGTGTGGGGTATCATATACGGAATTAAAATTTTTAAAAAATAATCTTTATAAAAACAATTTTTGGATATTTTGTTGGGTCCGTGTTTGGGCCTACATTTAAAACTGTATATATTCTCTATATTACATTTTACGCTTGAGTCATTGACAATTAAAACACCACAGCCTTGGGGGTTACACACGCCCTCTTCCTTACCATCAGCACCCGAGTTCGAGCAACTGTGGGGGTTTCGACTTTTTGAAAATCTTTTTATAAGCATTTTAAAACATCTTTTAATTCTCAACAAAAGACTTTATAAATCTTTATAAAAACAATTTTTTGGTTTTTTTGTTAGGACTGTGTTTTGACCTACATTTTCAAACAGTAGATAATCTGTATATTTACTTTTACGCTGGTATCATTGATAATTAAAACACCACAGCCTTGGGGGTTACACACGCCCTCTTCCTTACCATCAGCACCGGGGTTCGAGCAACCGTGGGGGTCTCGACTGTTTGAAAATCTTTTTATAAGCATTTTAAAACATCTTTAAATCTCAACAAAAGACTTTATAAATCTTTATAAAAACAATTTTTTGGTTTTTTTGTTGGGCCCGTGTTTGGATCTACATTTTTAAACAGTAGATATTCTCTATATTAACTTTTACGCTAGAGTCATTGATAATTAAAACATCACAGCCTTGGAGGTTACACACGCCCTCTTCTTTACCATCAGCACCCGGGTTCGAGCAACCATGGGGGTCTCGACTGTTTGAAAATCTTTTTATAAGCATTTTAAAACATCTTTTAAATCTCAACAAAAGACTTTATAAATCTTCATGAAAACAATTTTTTGGTTTTTTTGTTGGGCCTGTGTTTAGACCTACATTTTCAAACAGTAGATATTCTCTATACTAACTTTTACGCTGGAGTCATTGACAATTAAAACACCACAGCCTTGGGGGTTACACACACCCTCTTCCTTACCATCAGCACCCGAGTTCGAGCAGCTGTGGGGGTCTCGACTGTTTGAAAATCTTTTTATAAGCATTTTAAAACATCTTTTAAATCTCAACAAAAGACTTTATAAATCTTTATAAACATTTTAAAACTTCTTTTAAATGTCAACCAACAAAATTTATAAAGATTTATAAAGATTGAAAAGGATATTTAAAAACCTTTATAAAATGGATAACTAAACAATAATATTTTCTGTGTCGTCTGAGTGGCAAAATGTTCCAAACACACTGAAGCAATGACCACTGGACTCTTTTAACCATAAATTTTGATACTGCAGTCTAGCATAATAAGAAAAAAATCAAACTAATGATTTCAAATAAGAAAGGGAATGTCTCTTTTTCCGCTTCTCTGTGCATCCTTGCTCCATCTCCTGTCCCTATACACAATTAGATCTACAATGTTTCGATTTTTTTTGTGGAATGCTTCAAAAAAGATCATTCTCTCGTTTTCTTGTCAAATTACGGTGCTAATAACTCTGAGAAGAGATCAGCAGCAAGCTTCAATCTTATATCCCCGATGTTTTCTTCCGAAAGCTTCGTCAAGTCCTTGATGCGCATCGAGTGGCACTCTATTAATTTCAATACAAAAATGCCTGTATCTGCTATTTTAGCAACCTGATACAAAAGAAGAAGACAAATAAATATAACGCCATATTCAAAAGTTTATGGAAACATGATGACATTTATTTTCAAACAAACACTTAACCTGTGGTACTTCTTTTGACTCTATTTGAATACTGAATGGAGAGGTAACCATCGTGTCATCCTTGGTAATTTGGCGAATGATGTAAAGAATTGTGTGTGCATACGCGCCAATGTATGTATTGACCTGTTCTTCCGAAATCTTCGATGCTGCACAGTTTGGTACGATTATCTTTCTCTTCTCAAGATGAAAGATCAATGCAATCCAGCATTTATACTTGATCCTCAACGGCGCATAGATAATGCGGATGTTTTTCTCTATGCCATGACTGGTGAATTCAGTCCCGAATTGAAACCCGTCCTTGTCATCTGCAAAAATATCATAAATCTCGTCTATTGCTTTCAAGAACGATTCACCAACCATCAAAGCACTTTTGTTCAAAAACAAATGAGGATTTTGTTTCTTTCGCATCCTCAATAACTCCAAAGCTGCTTCCATATGCTGTAAGACAAAAACAGACAATTTTTAAGATGCTCCAAATTTCAAGAGAAAACATTTTTTCGCAGGACTAAAATGTCTATAAACTTACCGCTTTCGTAAAAGCATTTCCTGCTGTCTCCAGCATGGTAATCCACTTAAGATCTACGGTAATGTCATTAATTTTCAGTGGCCTGCATTAAGAGTAGACAGTAATTGTTACAAATATGGCATCACATCTTTTATATAGCTTACGAAAACTATGCTTGCAAATTTGACTATTTCCATTCCTTTATTTTCTCCATTCGCATCTTATCAACCGGCTCAAAAGGATGAATTAATGGATATCTTTTCCTTGTTCCCGTGTAAGGTGGTTGTGTAAGAATCGAAGGCACCTGTCCTCTCTGGCTTCTTCTTGCTGGCACTCCATCTGCTTGACGTTTCCTAGATGCTTTATGTTTCTTCTTTTTAGATATTGGTTCAACTTCCTAAAATGCACAAACCATTTCGATGTTTAAAAAGCTGGACAAACTTGTAACCTAATCATATTATACAGGGAATTAACTCGTTTACCTCTGTGTATCCTTCTGCAGCTCGTTTCTTATTTTTCTTCACACTTTGTAAATCGGATAATCCTCTTTGAGAATTTGTTACATTTACTTCAATACCCTAGTCAAAATTGAAAATTTTCAAAACTTTAGAATCAGCAATACTAGTTGAATAAATCCTAGAAATAATTTGGTAAAAAGTCTTGAATTACCTCCTCATTGTCTTTGTCGTCAGCTCTGTGTCTGCTAGTATCACCTCCATTGTCATTATTTATGCTGTTTTGTAAACTGTCTTGGGAAAAAAGATTGAATCTTGGTGTAATAGGCGATGAAACCTATACAAGCATAACAACAGAGATGAGATATAGCACTCAATTTATCAATGGAACACAAGCTTAAGTTAAAAAAATATAACAGATTGGCGTTTCTACTTTACCTCGGGGGTTTTTTTCTCACCACAATCTGCAGTTGCCGTACAAGATATATCATTATTACAGCCATTTGAAGCTTCATCGTCGCCAAGTTTTTGGGTACTTTGAAATGAACTTCTGTATCTTCATTGAATCCAACAGAAAAACATAAACCAACAAGCATTGTAAGAAATTAATTTTTGGATTCAAACAAGGAGTAAAGATGAATCATCTTTACCTTCAACAATGGTTGTAGTTTGCTCGTCGCCAAGATCTTGTGTTTCTTGAACCAAAACTTATGTTTCTTCATCGCCAATACCAACAGAACTAGCATTTTTAGCATTAACACCACCAACAAAATCAGATGTTTCATCAACAACACCTTGTTTTTGTGTACTATCATCATCGGCAGCATAACTGTCATCTGAATTTGCTTCACGCCGAGAATTCTCTGACTCTGTATCTTTCTGCACGCCATCTTCAGAAACATTTTCATTTTCCTATAAAGAAAAGAATCAAACAATGCTCAATCGTCAGAATCAAACATCTTTATAAATATATTTATACTGTCTATTTTTTTACCTCTGATCGCTTGCCATCTGCTTCATTTTCTTCTGGAATCCCTAAGACTTGCTGGATGATCTTCACTTTCTTGGTCAAGATCACAAGCATGTTGAGTATCTTGTCAAGTTTTTCACTGTCAGTAAAAGGAGGAGACTCTGGGGTTGTTGTAAGCTCTGCGTTTCTTGCTTGCTGTGTCAATATGTATTCAGATGCAGTAACAACATCTAACATGCTGCTTATCCAGTCGGCTCTCCTCAATCTGTAGCCTTGCCTTACTAGTTTCACAACCGATGCAAAGTCCTTGTCAATAGGATTCGTTGGTGGAACCAGGTTCTTATATTCCTCTGGATTTCCAACAAAAGTATTGACTACAATCTGCAAATGCATAGCAAATACATTTTTTTGTAAAGCTTTATTATTGCATCCAAAACAGTATCTACAATCAAATAAACTGAGAATCACTTACATTGTTTTTCTGCTCTACACGAAAAACTTCTGAAATAGAAGGAGTCCGAGTGGCTTTCCACTGTAAACACAACGGGCCTGCAGACGAACTTGAATCAGATCGACTCCCAAATAAAGCACCTAGCGCTGGCACAGCCGACAAAGCCCACAACGTGATTGCCCATACGAATCCTTGTACTTCATACTGACCTTTTGCAAATGTTTTTGCTTGCATCCTGCGTATACTAGCAGATAGGACCTCATATCCTATCTTCCCCCAAGGATGCAAAGAGTAAGTATCGAAATTCAAAAACAATTGCAGACTCTCTCGCGATATCTTTACCGTTGGATTCTTTGAGATTATAATCCCATGAGTCAAGATAGCAGCTCTAAGAGAAAGTTTCTCCTCAACAGACATTCTGTTCGCACTGTTTTCCAGCAGATCCATCAAACCTTTCACAGTGTACTTATTTGTCTGTCCTAGCATCCACAGATATGGTTTTTTCAACTTCACGTGTGATGGCCCTGTTTTCTGGTTTGGGTACTCCTCTGGTTCACAACAACGCAAGCCTGTGGTTAGGAAATACTCCCTGAGTGAAAATCTCATCGGCTGGTCTGCAAATGCAAACCACAAGTCTTGTCCTTGTGTCAAAATTCTTCTTTGCATCAGGAGGTGGAAGATCTTTCCAGAAAACTGAATGTCCTCTCTCCTTGCGAGTTTCACAATCGGGTTGAGATAAGAGTTTTCGATCATACGCAACTCCCAATCTCCTAAAAGCTTTGTGACTTTATCCAAATAGAGTAGGTTCGAATGTTGCAGGACTACAATGGTGCTCTTTGGTTCTGTCCCGGGTTCATATATCCGTGCAGGCAATTTTAGTGTTGTATCGAATTCTTCATCCATCATCTGCAAAGTTTTACAATAACAATCTGTTTTAAATCAAAACTTGAAGTACATTTGAATGTAAATTAAACGGAACATTGTTATTATCTATTTGAAACAAGATGAATAAAATTACCCAGAATCAAAAACAGAGAAACTAGGGCAAACTTTTGGCTAAATGATACTCTTATGATGTTTTACAAAACCGGTGAAATGTTAGGAAACTGGGGACATAGGGAAAGAGATAGAGAGAGAGAGAGAGAGAGAGAGAGAGAGAGAGAGAGATTTATAAAGGCTTACAAATCTTTATAAATCGTCAACCACAAAGGAGTTAGTGAAACTAATCGGAATTGCAACGAAAAACAAAGGGTGGTGATTTACAATTCACGAGTCACATATCTTTCAAAATCGGTAACTACAGAGAAACAAATCACAAATTTAATCAAAACAAATTCGTGATTCACAATTCGTGAATCACAAATCTTCAAAGTCGTAACAACAATAGATTCAGCGAAACAAATCACAGTTTAAATGAATAAAATAACGAATCACATACCTCTCTCTCTCTCTCTCTCGACTCGTTATCAGAATTTTTTGATCACGATTCACAATCGTCGTTTCGCCAACTTGATCTCTCTCTCTCGACTCGCCGATGACTTTTGATTTCTAATGACCTAGGAATAAACTTGTCATTTTAATAGTTAAATGATTGTATTCATTAAAATGTTCACTTTGTTGTAGTATTATTGAATAGTGGTACAATGAAAGGTGTACTTTTAAAATTTTCCCATCAAAAAAAGAGTTTAAGATATTTAAACTTCAAAAAGAGAGAAAGATGAATATAAGAATTTTATTTTTTTCTTTTTCTGAATTTATAATTTCACAAAGAATAAAGTCATCAATTTATAGAAAAACATTACTTCATAGTAAAATATTCTAATGTATAAAGACAAAGCATATTGATAAGCATTATCCTTTAATATGCTAATGTATAAAGATAAAATACGTAGATAAGCATTATTCTTTAATATGATAATATATAAAGACAAAAACAAATGGATAATCACTATCTATTTAACACTCACCCTTGATTATCTATTATTAATGATATGTTACATACCGCCTCATTAAAAAATCCTTATCATGGAAAACCCCGTTTGGGACTAAAACCATGATGAGGGAGAAAGAGTGCAGTAACGCTCCCCCTGGAAATAATGGATGTAACATTTTCTTCATAGATCTCGGAGGTGACGCATTCCGATGCTATGAACATGTTTTCTGAATGTTGCCGTGGGAAATGCCTTCATAAGTAGATCAGCTGCGTTGTCGCATGAACGAACATATTGAATATCCACTTCTTGATTTTTCTCGAGCTCTTTTGTTAAGAGAAAAATCTTGGAGGGATATGCTTTGTTCGATCACTTTTGCTATAACCTTCTTTTAGTTGAGCAACACATGCAACATTATCTTCAAATACTTTTGTTGGCTTTTTCTGTATTTCTATTCCGCCTACATCTTATATATGATGAATGATTGATCTGAGCCATACACATTCCCTACAAGCTTAATGTAATGCAATAGCTTCCGCATAGTTTGAAGACGTTGCAACCAAAGTTTGTTTTTGGGAAGGCCAAGAGATCGTAGTTCCTACAATTGTAAAAACATACCCAGTTTGCGATCGAGCCTTATGCGGATCCGATAAATATCCTGCATCTGCAAAACCAACCATACCAAACTCGGGATTTCGAGAATAAAATAAACCAAATTCAATGGTATCTTGTAAATAACGGAATATATGTTTTATTTTGTTCCAATGTTGGCATGTAGGAGATGAGCAGTAACTTGCAAGTAAATTAGTAGCAAAAGCTATATCAGGTCTAGTACACTTTGCAAGATACATAAGTCCACCGATAGCGCTCATATAAGATACTTCAGGACCTAATATTTCTTCGCTATCATCACATGGCCGAAATGGATCTTTATCAACATCGAGCGATATATTGACAATCAGAGTACTCAAATGAGTCTCTTTATCCATACTAAAGCATTTAAGATAATATTCGTATAATTTGATTGATGCACAAATATACCATCTTGGAAATACTCTATCTGGAGCCCAAGACAAAAATTTGTCTTTCCAAGATCTTTCATTTTGAACTCTTCCTTCATATGAGTTCTTGCATCATGAATCTCTTTTTGAGTTTCGATTATACTCAAGGCATCAACATAAACAGAAATGATCACAAATCCTGATGTGGATTTCTAAATAAACACACAAGGGCATATGTCATTGTTGACATAACCTTTACTCCACAAATACTCACTTAAGCGATTATACCACATGCGTCCGGATTGTTTTAATCCGTAAAGTGATCGCTGTAACTTGATCGCACACATATCTTTAGATGTTGATCTTAATGCTTCCGACATTGTCAATCCTTTAGGGATTTTTATATATAAATTATTCTCAAGTGATCCATATAGATAGGCTGTCACAACATCTATCATATACATGTCTAGATTCTTGGATACTGCTAGAGAAATTTAGAATCTGAATGTGATTGCATCCATTACAGGGAATATGTTTCTTCATAATCAATTCCCGGTCTTTGAGAAAAACCTTCAGCCACAAGCCTTGCTTTATACCTTGTGACCTAATTTTTCTCATTTCTCTTTCTTACAAACATCCATTTGTATCCAATGAGCATTACATGTTCTGGTGTTGTGAGAATAAGTCCAAATACCTTTCTTTTATTCAGGGAGATAATTCTGTTTTAATGGTCATTTTCCATTTCTTCCAATCATGTCTTTTCTGACATTCTGATATAGACCTTGGATCTGGATCATCGCTTTCAAGTTCTTTATATACAGAAAAAGAGAATATTCCATCAATATCTTTTATTTTATCTCTGATCCATAGTTCTCCATTTTGGGCGTAATTAATGGAAATCTCATTTTTTCTGTTTCACATTTGTCTCCAAGACGAATCTCTTTATCTGGTTCTTCTAGAACCTTTTCACAAATGTCTTCAGGACATTTTTCTTTAAATAGTTCTTCCAGAACCTTTTTACTTTGTTTTCCCATATTTTTTTTTCTTTCAGGCAATTTTATCTTTAGAACCCATTGGTCTCCCCCTCTTCAACTAAACCCTAGGTTCATTTGATATGTTCTCATCAATGTGTTCTTCAGGAACACTAATTCTGGATGGAACATTAGCTGCAGGGATATATAACTTTGTCACCCTCTTGGTATTTATGAGCGCATCTGGTAACTGGTTTGCCATATTTTGCATTTTTTGAACTTTCATCTCACGTTGATTGGTAGGAGGATCAATATTAGCCAAAGATTTTATACACCAAGTGATATCTTTTGGTGATTCGCTCAATCCTTCCATAACGCGTGGAATTCATCTTCATTAAATGGCAATCGGCCTAACCTACCTTAAACATATCACCAGTTACTGGTTCAAGATACCTAATTATACGCGGTGACGTATAACCGATGTATATTCCCAATCTTCTTTATGGTCCCATTTTTGTTCTTTGAGGTGGCGCTATAGGGACGTAGACCGCACACCCAAACACACGAAAACAGGATATATTTGGCTCCTGTTCAGATACCAACTACCAACTGTAATGGAGAATACTCATTATATGCACTTGGCCATATCTGGATCAGGGCAGCTGCATGCAAAATAGCACGTCCCCATACATTAATTGGGAGTTTTGTTCTCAATATTAACGGTCTTGCAATCCACTGCATCCGTTTAATCAATGACTCAACCATGCCATTTTGTGTATGAATATGCGGAACCGGATGCTCAACATCGATTCCCAACGACATACAATAATCATTAAACACTTATGAAGTAAATTCACCAGCATTATCCAGTCTACTCTTTTTATAACATAATCAGGAAATTGTGCTCTCAACCTGATTAATTGGGTAATGAACTTAGTGAAAGCCGTATTTCGTGTGGTCAATAGACACACATGTGACCATCTACTAGATGTGTCATTCAAACCCATAAAATATATAAACGGCCCGCATTGTGGGTGGATCGGCCCACATATATCACCATGTATTCTTTCCAAAAATTCTGGTGATTGATTCCCAACTTTGGCTGGTGACGGCCGAGCTACGAGTTTTCCTTGAGAACATGCATTACCTAAAAATTCGTCCATTTGTAATATTATCTCGTTTTTCAGCAGATGGCCATTAGAATTTTACACAATCTTTCTCATCATGACTGAACCAGGATGGCCTAATCTTTCATGCCAAACTTTAAATGTACTAGTAAACTTCTGGTTTATAGTAACATAAGATTCAGTCATGTTTATTTTTGTGCAATATAATCCAGAGGATAACGTTTTTAATTCTTTCAATATATGTTTCCTCTCTGATGTAATGCAAAGATATTTAATGTCATTCTTATTCATAGTCTCTATACGATATCCATTCCTACGGATATCTTTGAAACTTAATAAGTTTCTATAAGACTTTGTGGAAATAATGCATAATTTATCTCAAACTTTGTTCCCCTTGGCATTTTAAAACTGACTCTCCCGGAGCCCATGATAATCTTTGCATTACCAGATATCGTA